GAAAAAAAAAAAAAAAAAAAAAAAAAAAAAAATGCTAAAAATTTCCCGGTAATAATAATATCGTTTCACGCGACGGTCGTGTTAATATACACGGGTAAACAAATCGAAAAATAATAAAATTTTATACGCGATCACAACGCCGTGACAATTGCCGCCGATCTGGTGCGCACGCTTTACACGGTGCGCTCTTATATTATTACACGCGCGCACACACACACACGCACACATACACACGTACACGCGCACACACACACACACACACAGAAGCGCGCGGGCGCCACGGTCGCGGACCCCGACCAACCCCTACTTACACAACCGGACTTATTGGGACACCGACCGCGTCCCAACGCGTATCTATATCATATTATCATGTATTATGTATAATATATTATTACTACTATTATTTATTATTATACCTGCCGTATATTATATTGTATTAATAATAAGACAGTTCGGATGCCGTATAGTAGCTGTCGATAGAATGTTTTTTTCTTCCCTTTTTTTTTTTTTTTACGCGCACGAAATCCTTCTAGAAAACCCCGCTTATCTTTTTCTATAAATTTGTATTAATTAAAATTCCGAAAAAGCGTTGAAAAAAAAAAAATAAAATAAATACAATTTCGCGTAGGTATATATTGTTATCAATATAATATCGGTACGGAAAAAATTTATAGCTGACGTGTATTGTTTATTGGACCAATAGAAAAAAAAAAAACATCCTAGGACAATGGGGGGCAGCCACTGTTATAGGTGATCTGTAAGCAATGGTTTATCGTTGCTTACAAAAAAAAAAAAAAAAAAAAAACATTTTTGTAAAACCGTAAGCTTCAAAATCTAAAAAAAGGAAATCTACGTACGGCATATCCGAACTCAATTAATAGGCAGTGAAATATTATAGATTAGAAAACGAATCGATATTGTATAATGTTTCGTACTTAATAATTGATTTTTTGTTTTGTTCGAATTAATCGGACATATAGGTCGAATCAGGGCTCGATCAGAAAACTGTTGAGGGCATTGCAAATTATTATGCACGCATGGCGCGTGTCAGAGTGGGGACGAGCGGACCCGTCGTATGATGTTCCGCGTTTATTATACCGCGAATCCTGAAGATTTACAAAACAAAACAGTCCGACCATCTGCAATATAGACGATTATTCTCTAGTCATTATTTACAATTATTGTGCATGCGTGTGGGGCGTTTCAAGGTTTATAATAATTTGACATCACGGTAATAGCGTTACTATTTTAAAGTTTTATACATTTTAGACCTTTAGCCTCCCCCATTAAACTTGTTTTCGGGCCGTATTTAATAAAAAAACGATTGAATATTAAAAGTCGAACCGTTAAAAAAAATAACAAATATCTGGCACGATCATTTCACGAAATGGACCTGAGGTTTCGCCACTTCGCGTAATTACACAATATGGATAACATTTCGCGGAATGGATACCTAAACATTACACAACGGAACTTGTTCCGTCATTTGGATCTCTGTAACGTGAACTATTATTATTATTTATTTAAACCTTATATCGTATACCACGGGTTTTTGGTTGATATGATAATATTCATATCGGTTGATCATAAATGACGAAATCACAAAATTATTTTTAGTTTTATCTACTGTATAAACATTGTTATCGGTCAAAAACCGTCGTTATTTCGTTTCAAAGGTGGAAAGAGGCACTACAGATCCAGCGAACATTATTGAAGTAGTGATGGAAGATTAAAATGATCTCAACCGTTTAGGAACTGAATATGGCATTATAAAGGGTTGACATGGTTCAGAAAATATTCAAGCGACCACATCCAAGTTCATTAATATCGATCAAGTAAAGACAATAAAAATGTCAATCAGAGAAATTGTATCATATTTAACAGGAGGTCATGGTTTTTTTTAGCTGTTACTGTAAAGGTAAATGTACAACAAAAAATGTACTTGTTTCAAATGTAATTTAAAATGTAATTCCGTTGTCATACTACTCAAACATGTTCAAATAGATAACAATAATAGAAATTTGTAATCTTAAAAAAAAAATTATTTTCATTTTTGTCAATTGTGAAACACGAAATTCGTTTGAAAAAAAAAATTATTAATATATTGTATTATTAATAGTGTATTATTTCGCGTTACGGATATCCAAATGACAGAACAAATTCCGTTGTGTAAAGTTTACGTATCCATTTCACAAAATGTTATCCATATTGTGTGATTACACGAAGTGGATAAGCCGCGGTTTCATTTCGTGAAATGGATGCAAACGTTGTCCATTTCGCGAAATGGACAATAACACGATATAGATGCGACATTCACATAAAAACAAAAAAAATAAACGTTATTGTAAAACCAATACATTGCTCGCTCCACGCAGAATCTAAAACATTAGGCTATCGTCATTTATATATGTTACGATATATTAATATGTATTATTTATTTAATAAGTCGTGCCATTTTCATCGGATATTTTCAAATATGGAATAGGTACCTACTATTGGGCTTTAAGTAATAATTACGGATATACACGGAATATAATGTAGACAAGTGTGCTCAAATATCCTTCAAATAAAATATTCCATTTATATTTAACTATTCTATTGACGACCAAATATTAAAGTTAACCTCCACTATTAAAGATTTATAGATATTATTCTATCTGCTGATCTCTCTTTTTCTGAACACATTTCATTTATTTATGGCAAAGCGATGCGCATAATAGGGTTTATCAGGCGCCAATGTTCAGACTTTAATGATATCCAATATTTAAAAATGCTATTTTGTTCTCTTGTTTGTTCGAATTTGGAATATGGGTCAATAATTCGGAATCCGTCCCAGCTTGGCCTTATAAGCCATTTAAATAATATTCAATCTTACTTCTTAAGATATTTTTACCTTTTAAATTTAGGCTACTTTGCCCAATACAGGAACTTGCTTTGACAATCACTGTCCTTCAGACTTAAGTATCATTTATTTTAAACATTTTAAATAATGATATTATTTTTATCGATTTCTTTGAAGAAATAGATTGATTGGTTCCAACTTTTTCTAGTAGGTCCAAGATTACCTTTTACAAGTCATTTCATTCTCAGATTTATAGTTTTAATGAACCTAAAGGCCGAATGCTACGGGTTTGTAATTCCTTGGATTTCGATTTTAATTATGATAAAGAATCTAAACTTTGGCATTTATGCATGGATTTTGAAAGGAAAAAGATAAATTTTATTAGATATTTAGTTATATAAAATACAATTACTGATATATTTTTTTATTCCATATATCAATTCATTTAGCTACTTAAATTATATTTGATTGTATTTGCACATGCACACTTTATTGCCCCATTGGGCGTAAATAAAAATTATTATTATTATTTTTATACATGATATAAACACATATATTAACAGTTACTACAAAAATTATCTCAATTACATTTTTTTTTCTGATAAAATTGATCGGGTAAAAATAACATAAACATTTTACGAAAAATCAAAAACTAATTGTTTTCACTTAAAAAAAAAAATGTGAGATGTTTTTTGGTTGTACAAGAAAAGTACCTGGTATTTTAAAAAATTACCATCTTAATTACCGAGTACCTACCTATTACATAAGACACAAAATTCTACGATAAAGATCCTATCAAATAATTGATGGACACGAGATGATCTACTCTGCTATTCATCGAAAACATGTTCGATAGGTCAAGGAAAAAAAACTCATAGACATGATAAAACCAATATACGCCCGTATCAGATTGCCAGGATGCCAGTCACAAGAAAAAGCGATAAAGTAAATTCTAGACGATAATTGTTAACCGAATTACAACAAAAAAAGAAAATCAAATTCAACAGAAACCGTGGTTGCGTACTTTTCCCCCTTTTCTACGTTTTTCCCAATTATTAAGAAAGCTACGTTGTTAACGCACGTATCATAATAAAAACAAAATAAAACAGATTAAAAAAAAGTCGTAGAAATGTATTTCTTTTTCAAAAATATAGTATCGTTCAAGACTAGAAAATAATATTTTGTGGGAGGGGGGAGGGGTTGTAAACTAAAACTGCGCGGTGTTTTAATTGTATAGACTGAAATAGTTATATTCTCACGACAACAATTTAACACGAACAGATGTTGAACCCCCAAATCTCTCCTCAGGTACGGCCTCGCTATTGAATTTGTAAAAAAAAATAAGTACCTTTACCTAATATGCTCTTATATACCTACAATCGACTGTGTTAAACTTATTTCGTACAGATAAAATATAATATTCGAATTCCCGTTTTCTCATCAACAATCCAACATCACCTGCAGAAGAAGCCCTCAATCAACATAACATTGCCAATATGTTTAAATCTTGCAAGAAAATTGACTCGAATATAGTAACTGTAATAAAGCTTTAATAACATGTAATTTTTAGTTACGGATTGACTCACGTAAATGTTATTCTAGGCCAATAGTCTTTGAATTTTAAGATATAATGTAAAATATATATATGATAAAATAATGTACCATCAATTTTGACAAAAAAATATTTTTAACAGGTGACTCACGAGCGGTGGTGCAATAATGGTTTCGTATCGGATAAAATATTTTAAAATTTGCATATTTATTCTATTTTTTTTTTTTGTACGCGCGCGGGTCAACAGTATATTATCATACTTAAAAGATTACGGGGTACCGTTTCGTCGTCATTGTCGTCGTCTGGCTGTTCAGATATTATGTTATTATAATAGTATAAATTATTGGTATACCTGTATTATCTATACACCCAATATAATATTATAATATAATCGTGTACGTACG